AAATGTAGATCGCACTGTTTGAAGTTACTCAGACATGGATGAGTGAGAAGAGTATCAAACTTTCAAACTAAAAATGATGATATCGGACTGAAACGGTGAAAATACAGTGTAAAGAAAGAAAAATCTATTTCTCAATTTACACTAACGGCACTACTGCACCGACCCTTGCCGTTTTCAATCCGAAAATCGTATCGTTATTTTTAATGTGATATCTTCAGCGGCAGTACCGAAAGATCCACAAGAAATTCGGGGTCATATTTTATCATCAATACCGAACCTTCCTGGTCATTTTCATGAAACAATGGCCTAGAAAAATACCAATTCTAAGAACCAAAATTGAGGATCGAAAACAGTAGAGTAATGCTCGCTTCAGTGAATACTACGGGTTAAGCGGCAGGACAGATTTTCAAATGGAAATACAGATTAAGAATATGTAAATGGTTTCATCCGACATTTGCTGAGGCATAAGCCTGTCAGCCCAGATTGCAAACTTATATCGAAACCAACATGGAGCAAATGGCGACCACGGAACACGGATGAACACGTTAAACGTCGAGCTGCAGCTCTTCTACGAAATTGTACCGGTTACCTGATAGCAGAAAGTAAAAAACATGACAATTTAGTCACGAAAAAATAAAAGAAGATTACAACAATACAGCCAATATCAGAAGTTTCATTTGTTTTGGTACCGGACCATAAATGAAGGATTGACATAACTAAATGAGACTGTGAACTATTCACGCGGCTGGCAGCCTAGAAATTTTTGCCTTTATTTTCGCATGAATTTAACCTGGTTAATAACAGTGCAAAGCTTACATTTAAGGTTAATTTATTTCAGGGTTATTTAAATTAAATTTTGGACTAAAAAATCGAACTGAATTAAATTTAAACAGTACCAGAAAAGTAATAAATCTCGATATAAAGTCGATACGCCTCTAAGCTCAAAAAACGACAGGATAGCTAAGATAACTAAGAGGGGTTACAGAAAAGCAGAAAAGACATGGAGTAGCAATAAATGAATACCGATGCAATGACAGCCTTCTTTTTCTGCAACCTGCGTATTTCTGTTTGCTGGCATTTCCTTTTCATAACAAGCTTCTGCTTTTCATTGTCCAGTTCAGCTTGCTCCCTTCGTTTCGCTTCTTCGAGTTTAGCTTCAATCTCTTTTTGCCGCCTCTCCTAAAAACACGATGCATAAACTTTGCAATATAATATTACTACAGATTTTACCTGTTCTCTGAAACTATTACTCTCTTCCTTGTTGAACTTCTGTAGCGTACTTAACAAGACACCAAACATTCGACGATTCCTAAAACAGCAGAGCAGTCAAGCGCAGATACAACCAAAAACCAACAAGGAACGTATAGGAAAATTAATTTAAATGAATGAAGTAATGCAGGCTATATTATTGATTAACGTTGAACATTAAATGAAATGATTCTGAATGTCAAGTCGAGAAAAGCAGCTGCAAAACAATAAACATATTCACAGTGTCAGATCAAGAGCTTAAGAACTAGCACTCTGATACGGTATATTTAGGAAATACACACAAACAAGAAAATTGTCACTACCTATTCACCTCCCAAAAACCATTCTACCAACAATGTAGAAGACAATTTTTCAGTAACAATTCTTATTTTCCTGGGATTACCAGAAGTAAACCCTTGGGCACAAAGTTAACCTCTCCGAGTCGAAAACGAGCACTGCCCGAGGACTGGGCTTACGCGAATAGCGAAGAACTCATGAAATTGCCAGCTACGCAAACCTCCGCCAAAAACTGGCTAGAGTGGAAAATCAGCCGAAGAAGAAAGGTGAGTCCGGTGAGGAAGGCCGGCCAACTGTAATCATATAAGCGTATCATTATTCGAAGGTGAGCTACCTTCCATGAAAGTAAAAAAAGAACTGTTTGATTTAGGAACGTTACCCACCATGATCTGAACGATGACAAGAACAAATTAATCGCAGAGCGATCAAGCAAAAAATGGAAGAAATTTCTCCAGGATAATGTTCTGAGCGTACAAATTCGACAACAGAACGGCTTAACAGACGTTATTTCTGCCCTCTACGACTCCAACAGAAGATGGACAAGTGACGTTGCACACCTTAGAAATAAACGATAGACATCAAACGCTACAAAACGAGTTCCGCTAAACCACCATCACTGAATCAATCGTCCAAGAACACGCTGGGACAATCTAACGGTCTAATTATTTGAACAGTGGTGCGGGGCGAAAAGCAAAAAATAAGGAATTCTGGAAGGGTCGACCTGCGTCCATGGCGCATCATAATAAGAAGAAATCAGTCTCCCTTAACGCGAAAAAATGGTGGCATCGTGTTTGAGTGCCTGCAATGTCTCTCTGATTCATGCTGAACAAGGCCATGTTTGAGCAGCAGCAAAATTTGAAACAATCTTCAGGCAAAGATATGGATAAAATAAGATAAACTATAACCCTGACGTAGTGGGACTGCTATAATGAAGAACACAATGATTTATGAACATCGGTGAGAAGCAATCAGAAGCAACTCATCTCTTTCAAGTAATTTGATCCATCCTGGATGAAAATGATGATGTGAAATTGAGATCTGCCAAAACACGCGAATAAAAAGACCTGCTGCTATTACTGCAATCTTATCTAAAACTAGAACAGCCTAAATAACAAAGCTTATGAGAATTTTGTTGTTCGAACATCTGAAGCAGTGCGTTAGAAATAAAATACACCGCACTACAGCGGCAAAAATCATATTCCTCATTGGAAAAAGGTACAGAACACAACAAAATTTATAGCATTCTTGGATTTTGTAATCAGATATCTTAAATTCATCATTTAACACAGATCTGTCTGCAATGAAAGCAGAAAAACGGCTCTCCCGCATAACAATAAGAGATACTGATATACAGTTCCAGAGAAATAAATACGCGAAAAGATTAATCACAAATAAATGTAATAAAGGATAAACGAAATATTTTTACATGGCTAAGAATCTTTAAAAGATTTCCAAAACAATTAATGATGTTCAAAAACCGGCGTGCATTTTTCAACCTCCAAACTTTATAAAAAAAACTCGCATTGTCATAGCATCATGAGAGAGCTAACGGGGGCTGCCTAACGAAAATAATACAACGCTGCATTGCTGGTAAATGATCAATGGAAAAGTTAAAAGGATGCAGTATAAACGTCGTAAGGAAATGTGTAGCACTAATCATGCCAAAAGAATCGTACAAGAGCAAAAGAAAAGGAGGCTATCATCTCATTCACAGGTATTTATCAACTCTAACCTGGAGCAAACTAAGGGGTAAACAGCATAAGACCAAAACACCGTCACTACTTCAAAACGACATGCAATTAAGAAGGTCGCCGAATCACAAATAAGTTGTCTTCAGTGGCATCCTCAAACGAAAAGTACAAAAGTCGCATTGCATATCGCAACTGTCATAAGTTTTTAAAACTGCAGTTTTGGGTAACATGTTTTTATTCAGCTCCAGTATGAGACGCGGTCCTGCGTCCTATGCCCTGCAGGCACTTAAATAGCAGGAAGCCGTAGCCTGCTTAAATGCTTCCCAAGGCGTCTGTAGAAGCAAGGGGGCGGTGGAGTAGAGTTGTGGTGTAAAGTGAGAAACAGATTTTTCTTTCTTTACACTGTATATTTACGCCATTTCAATTCGGTATCAATATTTTTAATGTGATATCTTCAGCGGCGGTATCGAGAGATCCATCAGGGTTATATTTTGTCCATTTTTAAAAGCTCTCCTTATACATTATAATACCAAAATAGCTCACCTTACGGTGATATCTCGCTTTTCATTTTCCTTTAATTCGCTGATGGCTTCCTCTCGAGTCTTTGTGTCTTTCTGTGGCATCATAACGCTGGATGGAACAGACGGCTTAAGAACGAAAACATTGAAAATATAATGAAAATCAGCAATATTGCTATTTGAAACGATTTTAACCACATCCATAACAATCGTTAATTTAATAGAGGTTTCATACCGTCAACCTCTGATTCTCCTAGAATAATCACGCTAATTAATTTGTCACAGTAACACAAAAACAGTTGCGACATTACAACCGCAAAGAATCTTGACCTTTAACGAGAGCGCATCACTAAATTAACAGGTTTCCAACAATATGCATTTTGATCCAGCCTATGATGTTATGCTGTACCATTTTACTTGAATTTAGAGTACTTATTCCAACTTTCATGATGCAACTGTTTTTCCTGCATACCACTGTGCTGCTCTCTGGGTAAATACCCGCATCTTTGATGATTATATAACTGCATACAGAAAGAATTTTAAATGTCATCTTTATTTTCACAGCAAAATCCAGCTTTACATACATTGAGCCGTATTTCATTTCTGAAGCTCATAACAAGTCAAAAACTCCGAAACTAAGTCATTGCCGATTCCAAGCCCGGAAAAAGCAATGGCGAAGTTTCCGATAAAATTTACACAAATCTCTTATCTTATCAAGGGCATCGAACCACACACCGATTTACGAAGAACCGAGCAAGCTGCGAACGAAGTGAGGAAGTACTGCGAAAAGTGCATGATCCGAACCTGCAATTTACCTACTGGGAGCTGTTGGAGGAGGGGGACCAGAACGGCGACGGATGATGAAGACGCGCACGAGATTATGGGATACTAAATAGCAACGCAGTCACGAAGTCTTCTGATCGGACAAGCCAGACGGCAATAATATCGCAGGTCACATAATATTCCACAAGGACGATAATGACAGAACAAGGTCACACTCGGAAACTGAAATTTCCTCATTGCCAGGGAAAAAGCAGGAGACAGTTAATGACGCCGCAAGGTACCGTCTGGATGTATCTGAGCTGTAACGAACGAAGCGACAGGGTCATAAAATTCTGAACCTGTGGGTGGAAGAAATTCCACTAACGGAACGAACTGATGATTCGCATTAAAGGCAGTGTTGGTGATCTGATAGAACTATGGAACAGAAGCCTGTTAATGGAAATATAGTAAGTCAGTACAACAGGCAAGAGTTTTAATCTTCCTTATACAGATCTATTCATAAAATTCAGATGGCGAATGCGAATCCTCCTGGAGGATGCTGAAGATGATCTGGAAGAAGTGCCAATTACGCAGGAAGCAAAAAATCTGATAGGCCATTTCAATGCGCATGTCAATACAGACATTGAAAAGTGGAAAGAAATGATTGGAAGGAAAAATAATGGCATGAAGTTGTTGCGGCTTTGTGCCAATATCGGACTGTCCATTTTGAACACCTTTTTCAAGAACCGAAGCGTGCATCAGTATACATAGAGAAGCTTGTGGCAGAAGTCAATGATCGATTTGATAATTGTATCGTCTGACTTACGACACTCTGTAATGAATGTTCGCGCTAAGAGAGGCGCAGAGCTACTAATTGATCATCAGTTGTCGGCACGCTGCGCTGTAAGAAATGGAGTACCATTCGAAGATCTGGTGGCGGAAGCAACCGGAGAATCAAATGGGAAACATTGTCTTCGGTGGACACGAGAATCAATTTGGAAACAACATCGCACGACGGTTTAAACAGATCCCAGCGATGACAACTGATACTGAAACCGAGTGGCAGCTCTTTAAGAGCGGCATACTCAAGGCTGCCGCCAAATGCTGCGGATATAAACAGGTTGGCCGGCCGTCTGTAAGTCAGAAAAGATCTTCCTGGTGGACAAGAGAGGTACAACTGGCAGTTAAAGCGAAGAAGGCAGAGTTCAAGAAACGGCTTGGTAACAGAGCCAATTCGAATGCAATACGATGAACCGCGCAAGGCGGCAATGGAAGCTAATTCCTGGAAAACTTCGATGAGGTGCTAAAGCCGAATCTGCAGATGGTAAAGGTAAGGTATCCTGGCACACAATTCGCCGTGTCTGAGATGGAAAGAATGGGAGACTAAGACCCTTGAATGACAAGTTCGGAAGCGCTCTTACCAACAGTAAGTTCATACTTCGGAAATAGAGAGACTCTGAGGAAATTCAAAACCACGAGCAGCCTCAGGTAGAACCGTCTGAACAGCGACCGGCAATGGTGATTAGTCTTTCACTGAATGAAGTCAGAAAAGCTGGAAAAGAATTGAAAAATGTCAATACAATTGATGGAGTCGATGAAATTCTTCCTGGAATGTTTAAAACTGCAGGCGAACAAAGCATGTTGTGGCTGACTCGCATCTGCGAAACGATAATGGCTACGTGGAAGACATCAGTTCACTGGACAAACGGGGTTTTATTACCCCTGTTCAAGAAGCAAAACCAGAGGTACTGCTCCAATTATCAGGGTATTACATTATTGGGCCTCTTGGGTAAAGTCTACGTAAAGGTGATAGAATGGAAGTGCCACGGAATAGCGGACTGTAAGCTCTAAGAAGAGCAGTGCGGCATGAAGTCAGGCCGAAGCATCTCTTACCATATGTTCCTCTTACCTCATGATGTTGAGAAACAGACTGAGTCAGCTCATCTGGTTTACGTGCGCGTTCATCTGAAGAAAGCCTATGGCTGGATCCCGCGAAACAAGCTGTAGACGTACATGAATATCAGTGGACTCGATGGTCAGTTGCCATGAGCCATTCAGTCACTTTGTACTGATAGCA